TCCGCCATCCCCTACGTGGACATGTTCTTACACACCATACGTGAGCGCCCAGTGACGGCCTGCGGGGTCAGGGCTGCAGCAGGTGGAATGTGCGCCCTCACACACCTCCGGGAGGGCCTCACACCCCAAAACCGCCTCACCACTCTTGGAAAGAGGATAATGAATCAGTGAGGGCCCTTAGGGTCTGGAGAGGATGAGCAGCCACTGCAGGGCACCAGACATAGCGGCCGAGGGCCTCGCTGGCCGGCCCGACACGGAGCCGGGTCCTTGGGAAAGGTTTGGGGCATGTCTTCCGCCCTCAACCACTCTGATCGCGTACAGACAGACACAGAAGCACACACATTACACTCTCCCACCCAGGTTCGGCTTGAATCTAGGCGATCCAGGCTAACTCTTTCTCTACCACCCTCTCCCAACCTTGCTTCCTGGAAACTGGGGTGGCCAGGGCCCTGGCAACCTTGCCTCTGTACTGACTGGGCCAGGCCCTCTAGGTCAGTGGTCAGGGGCCTCAGTGTCCTCTCCGTTGTTGCTCCTGCCCGTGTGTTATTTGAAAAACAGTTCTGTCCCTAGAAAACTCAAGCTTGGAGAAAGAGGTTGGAGTGGAAAAAAGGGAAGTTTATTATATATATGATGTCCTTTTGAGGAAGGAGTATTAGACACTGTACAAAAAAGAATAGGCTGGCAGAACCACGTCAGGAAGTAGCATATGATCAAAAGCCAACTGTGGAAGAAGAGGAGGCTCAAGCTGCTCTGAAGGCGCTGGCAAAAACAAGGCCCCAGAAGTAGATACCTACTGTACTGCTCTGACCAGTACGAGGTGCTCCGCAATGCGATGAACTACTTGAGATTTTAGTCAAGAGGTCAGGGAAGAGGAACTCTGAGAGGGGTGTCCTCTGGACCTGTACATCCTTAGAGCTTTTATTTGAGAAGTTTTACAGGTAGGAAGGAAAACACGTTAAATCATAAGATGTTGCTTACTCCCAGCGCTGGCTGAAAATCGCCTGTGACTTCATCCATAGCCACTGGTGAGAGTCTGCGCCCAGAGCCATCAGGGGCTTTAAGCTTGTTGCCCACTACTGTGGTGTGGACAGCTGAAACCCAGGCCCCGACAGGCACCTGGGGGGGGG